GGGGGGGGGGGGGGGGGGCAGCCCAGAGATGATTCCAGGTGCCCTGAGATGATGGTCCAGTCCCACAGAGCTCCTTTCCCCTTCACTGACATTACGCATCTCCAAAGAGGAGGCTTTCAATACAAAATCGGAGCAGGACATTAATTTCGAAACGATGCCTCTCCGACACGGATCCTGCTTCTCCCCTCACCCTGCTGTCACCCCTACTGTTTGTCCTCCTCTTTCTCTGCTTGTATTTGCAGCTCACATTGAGATCCATTTCTAGATCTAGGACCTTAGGCTCCCCTCTCAAGTGATTTGGCCAATTCATTTTAGTTCCACCTCCTGCCCCAGTTCTGCCTTTAGAAAGGTAACTTTGCTCGTGTGCAGAGGTTGCCACTTTTTCTTCTTAGGGCATATACTTTGATTACCGTTAAGGAAAAAATATATTAATGGAAGAGCCTCAAACTCTTCATGAATGAAGAAAAAATACCTGCTTAAAACTCCTGTATGAGGGGCGCCTGGGTGGCTCAGTCAGTTAAGCGTCCGACTTCAGCTCAGGTCATGATCTCACGGTCCGTGAGTTCGAGCCCCGCGTCGTGCTCTGTGCTGACAGCTCAGAGCCTGGAGCCTGTCTCAGATTCTGTGTCTCCCTCTCTCTCTGACCCTCCCCCATTCATGCTCTGTCTCTCTCTGTCTCAAAAATAAATAAACGTTAAAAAAAATTAAAAAAAAAAACAACAAAACTCCTGTATGATAAAACAGACTTTAAAAGAATGATTGTTTGGGGTTAAAAAGAAAAGATGTTGTAGATTAGGTATAGGATGAAGCACAAACTAGGTAATGGAACAATATGTTTCTATTCCTTTAAAAAAATGGATGGATCATTTGTTCTGTAAATACACGTTAGCCAAGAAGCTATCATTTTTTGAGCATGTTGCTAATGTGGAAACAGCTACAAAGGTCGATGAGATATAGTTCCTGTTCTTGAAAAGCCTAGAACTGAGTCAGGGTGAAAGGCACGAAACTAAGATACTATACAATACAATGGAATGCTATAAATCCAGTGACCTCATGAACCTGAATTTCCTAAATGGTATCCATTTAAGATACTCTGTTCCCCAGATTTCTGGTCAAAATATATACACTAATTCCTACTTTGGAAGGATGATCTCTGGCTCTAAGATTACGTACAAAGTACTTGGTGAACTCCAGTGAGGAAATAGTTCATTTGGCAAGGAGAACCAGGCGAGGCTTCAAGGACAATGTTATATTTAAGTCTGGCCTAGAAGAGTAAAGAACTTGACAAGCAGATGGGGAAGAAGGTGGGCATGGCAGGAAGAAGGAAATGCAAGAGTAAAGATTCTTAGAAGAGCTTTCCAAAAATTAATTGCATCCCATTAGTAGTTTCCTTCCTGTCCATAGGTGATCCACTTATTTTCTTGGAGCCTCACAACATCCTGATGAGTTATTTTGATATAGTGTGATCCCGGGGTGCCTGGGTGGCGCAGTCGGTTGGGCGTCCGACTTCAGCCAGGTCACGATCTAGCGGTCCGTGAGTTCGAGCCCCGCGTCAGGCTCTGGGCTGATGGCTGGGAGCCTGGAGCCTGTTTCCGATTCTGTGTCTCCCTCTCTCTCTGCCCCTCCCCCGTTCATGCTCTGTCTCTCTCTGTCCCCAAAATAAATAAAAACGTTGAAAAAAAATATATATAGTGTAATCCCTCAAACTTAGATACCCCATGTAAAGGAATCCTTGAGGCCATGGAATTTCTGGAACTTTGGAATTTCTCTGGGTTCTGCCTCTTACCTGTGATATGATCTGCCTGAGTAACCCCAGTTTCCATGTTTGGCTTCTATGTCTCCGCCCATCCTTGTGGATGGACCTGTTAGTGCTGTCTTTGAGGTCCTCTGCTCTGTAGCTGTCAAATCACACCTTCTTCATGCCGCCTCAATCTCTGAAAGCGGTTTGCTGCGGGTAGACACTACAGAGAAGTAGAAATGGACAGATAGGCAGGGTTCGATTCCGCGTGCGTGGCCTCGTCCGCCTTGCCGTGGACTTCGCGTCTCATTTTACAGGCAATGAAGGGACCTTGGAGAAGTGACCTAGCAAGATTGCTCAGGGAACATGGAGTTAGAATGGGTGGCAACAATTCTGTGGTCAGAGGGGATTAGTAGCCCGGGGCTCTGCACCACAGCGGAGGCAGGCACTGCAGGGGAGCAGGTCCTTGTACTCGCATGAAGCACCCCTCTACCCTGCTCACGTGCTTGGCGGGAGCTGCTGGTTCCTCACTCTAGGCTGCCAATCCCCCTTCTCTTCTCCTGTCTTATGGTAAACGTGGTATGAAGCAATTAGTTGTACTATTCCGGTATTCCCTTCCTGAAATCACTTCACTTGAGAGTCCTCGGGCTCTTCAGAACTTCTTTGTAGGTAATCTTCGAACTTAACCTGTCTTTCCTGTCCTTTCTGCCATTTCTCTCGCTGCTTCCTGACACAGAGTCTGCATTCCAGCCAGACTCAAGTATTAGCTGTTCCTGTGGATGCTCTGGTTTCTACGCGCTCGCTTTTGCTTACTCCCTCCTGCAGTCTGAAATGCCCTGCCTTTCGTTTCTGTTTGTTGAAATCCTATCCATCCTTGGGAACTTAGCTCTGGGGTGACTTCCTGCCTTAAGCCTTTTCTGAATCCCTGCAATGGTTGCGATCTCTTTCTCCACTGCACCTACGACCCTTCTCACCCTCTGCCTTGCTTGGCTGTTTCTGTCTATAGGTCTGTGGGTTGGCCTCCAGCAAGGACAAGAAACTTCACTGTTGACCTTGCCAACAATGTGTCTGGCCCTGGCAGGCCGTCTTCTGTAGGGATCTGTGAGTCTGTTTTAAATGATACTAACTGTTCTCATCAGGCTGCTGGGAACTTGCATCTGAACAAAATAAGAAGATATTGCGGGGCGCCTGGCTGGCTCAGTCGGTGGAGCGTGCTACTCTTGATCTCGGGGTTGTAGGCTTGGGTCCCACATTGGGTGTGGAGATCACTTAAAAACAAAACCTCAAAGGGGTGCCTGGGTGGCTTTGTCAGTTAAGGTCCGACTCCAGCTCAGTTCATGATCTCGCGGTTCATGAGTTCGAGCCCCACATCGGCTCTGGGCTGACAGCTCTTTGGAATCTGTGTCTCCCTCCCTTTCTGCTCCTCTCCCACTCACACTCTGTCTCTCTCTGTCTCTCAAAAAATAAATAAACGTTAAAAAAAATGAAATAAAACCTTAAAAACTGATGCTGATAGAGGGGCACCTATGTGGCTCAGTCGCTTAAGCATCCAACTTCGGCTCAGTTCGTGATGTCACGGTCCATGGGTTCCAGCCCCACATCGGGCTCTGTGCTGACAGCTCGGAGCCTGGAGCCTGCTTCAAATTCTGCGTCTCCCTCTCTCTCTCTGCCCCTCCCCTGCTCACGCTCTGTCTCTGTCTCAAAAATAAATAAACATTTAAAAAAAATTTTTTTAGGGGCGCCTGGGTGGCGCAGTCGGTTAAGCGCGTCCGACTTCAGCCAGGTCACGATCTCGCGGTCCGTGAGTTCGAGCCCCGCGTCAGGCTCTGGGCTGATGGCTCGGAGCCTGGAGCCTGTTTCCGATTCTGTGTCTCCCTCTCTCTCTGCCCCTCCCCCGTTCATGCTCTGTCTCTCTCTGTCCCAAAAATAAATAAAAACATTGAAAAAAAAAATTTAAAAAAAAAAAAAAAATTTTTTTAAATGATGCTGATAGAAGAAAGTTAACAACAGTATTGGCGATCATTTGCAATAAAACTTTTCCAAACCAACTATATGTATATTTTTTTATGTATAGATGTAAATATGTATGTATGTGTATTTTTTAAAGATTTTTTTTAGTTTTTATTTATTTATTTTGAGAGAGAGAAAGAGCATGAGCAGGAGAGGGGCAGAGAGAGAGGGAGAGAGAGAAAATCCCGAACAGGCTCCTGCTGTCAGCAAGGAGCCCGACACAGGGCTCAGTCTCAGGAACCATGAGATCATGACCTGAGCTGAGATAAAGAGCTGTACACTTAACCAATGGAGCCACCCAGGTGCCCCCAAGATTTTGATTTTAAATGATCTCTACACCCAGCAAGGGGCTCAAACTCACAACCCCGAGATCAAGAGTCACACTCTACCGAGTGAGCCAGCCAGGCACCCCTATGTGTGTGTATCTCTTTTTAATGAGAAAAATAGTCCTTAGTCAGAGGTAGCAAAGACTCTCTTTGATTTGGAAAAGGCAAGCGACAGCTTTTATTTTCATGAAAAAGAGAATCAGGTAGTAAATGAACTAACTGACCGATTCCTGCCTGAGTCGCGAGATGGTAAGCGAAGGTGGCGTCACAGTGTCACAGAAAGGGTGTAGGAAACTTAGTAGACCTAAGCGGATGAAACAAAAGTTGAATAGACTTACATCATTCTATTGCCGACTCTGGCCCCACGGAAATTCTCCGGGAGTAGCTTATAGAGCCCGTTCAGGTCTACTTCTCGATTTTCTAACACCTTCGGTTGCAGTCCTTGAGGATCTGGTGCCTGTGTTAGCAGAACCTGGGGACTCTCGTGAAACCTATCAGATGAGTTGTGCAGACCAGCCAGAAGTCTCTTACACCTTCCAAATGCAAAGATATTGTGGCAGTGGCTTTCCAGTGTGACCTAGCTCCAAATCCCTCTTTGGTTTGCTCTTACTCCTGCTTAGAACTCAAAGAAAGACGGGGCGTCCGGGTGGCTCAGTCGGTTGAGCCTCCGACTTCAGCTCAGGTCAGGATCTTGCGGTTCGCGAGTTTGAGCCCCGCGTTGGGCTCTGCACTGACAGCTCAGAGCCTGGAGCCTATTTCAGATTCTGTGTCCCCCTCTCTCTCTCTGCCCCACCCCTGCTTGTTCTCTGTCTTTCAAAAATGAATAAACATAAAAAAAAGAAAACCAAAGAACTCAAAGGAAGGCACTTTTGACCTCTACTTCCTCCAAACTTCTTGCCTTTTGACACCTTTTGAGGAAATGACATCCTTCCTTACAAAACCTGACATGTTTACCTCTGCAAACTCTTCATGAGCAATCCGGATCTGCTGGCTGCAAAGACCCCCATCCCGCATGGTGTGTCCATCTCACTGGAAGCACTGAAGAAAAGGCAGAATCATATAATCTTCTCTCCCCTGGTCTAGACAACAGGAAGCACCAACTGTTCAGGGAAACCAGCATCATTCCAAGCCAGCGGGTTGACACTGCTCTTGGGGGTCAGAATAGATTTTTGCTCTGGAAGCGGCAGAAGGGAAGAAGACCTAGAAGGGTCATTTGGATGATTCTTTACAGAAGCAGGGGCAAGAGAAGCTGCTGTTTTTGTGAGCTGGGTTCTGCTCGGCAAGCTCAGGCTTCACTAGCAGACGGGAGCATCCTTCCGGCGTCCTGGAGTTTGCAACCAGGAAGTGAATTTTTCCAATATTGAGGCCCGGTGTTTGGATCCTCTTCCTTGGCCACCCAGCGTGCTGTTTGTGATCTGTTTTTCCACCTGGCTAAGATAGAGATTCGCATGCAGGAGGTTTATCGGGAATCGCTCTTGGGAATAACACCAGTAAGAGTGTGAGGGAAGCAGGCCTCATCACAGGGAGAAGTGACAGCGTAATGCTGGTGTAACAAAGGTCTCCGTCAGTCCCACAGGGAGCTCTGCAACTTGAATGGCCATTCGAAAATGTCCCAGATGAGGCAAGGGGCCAGGTCTTTTGCCCCCAAACTTAGCTCTTGGATACGAGCAACTCCCGAAGAAGGGTTGCAATCTTGGGCAAGGCAGCTAGCTCACTTTGGTTGAGGGCAATTCTTGAAAAGAAAGATCTAGGGACGCCTGGGTGGCTCAGTCGACTGAGCCTCTGACTTCAGGTCAGGTCATGATCTCACAGTTTGTGAGTTCGAGCCTCTGATCGGGCCCTGTGCTGACAGCTCAGAGCCTGGAGTCTGCTTCCGATTCTGTATGTCTCTCTCTCTGCCCCCTCTATGTTCATGCTCTGTCTCTCTTCCAAGAATAAACATTAAAAATATTTAAAAACATAAAAAATAAAAAACGTGCATGAGATGAGTAAAATGAAAGAGGGCTGAATCACAAACGAATAAAAAATTTTTAAAAAATAAGAAACTCCAGGGGCGCCTGGGTGGCTCAGTCGGTTAAGCGGCCGACTTCGGCTCAGGTCATGATCTCGCTGTCCATGAGTTTGAGCCCCACGTCAGGCTCTGTGCTGGCAGCTCAGAGCCTGGAGCCTGTTTCAGATTCTGTGTCTCCCTCTCTCTGACCCTCCTCTGTTCATGCTCTGTCTCCCCTGTCTCAAAAATAAATAAAACGTTAAAAAAAATTTTAAAAAAAGAAACTCCAACTCTTAATCAACCCCTTCAATAATATCACTCCTAGCAGTGAATATGGTTACAGTATTACAGAATACCCATTTATTCATTTTTTAAATATTTTAAATGGATTATTTCATGCTAGGTTCTGAGCTAGATTCCAAGAAATCAAAAATAATAGTCCTGCTTTCAAAGGATTCATGGCTAGTGGCGGGGGGGGGGGGGGGGGGGGGGGGGGACAGATAACATAAGACCAGGGTGTGGGTGCTCGCTGGGCACACAGAGGGTCCTTTAGTAAATGGTAGAAGGCATGAAAAAAAAAGAGGCGTTCTGCTCTGCATTTCTGTTACCATTGCATTTAACAACAGTTGAAATGGGTTTTTTTCATGTTTGACAGAGTGGTCTAGAATTTAAGCTTACGGTTCAGCTAGAGCTCTCGGGTTTTCATTTGAAGAGGAAAAATTGCGTTATGGTATAAAAGATAGTTAACCATGGTCCATGATTAGGCAGTGCCCCTCTCAGATTGTCCAAGAGTTGGATTAGATGTACTGTTAAAATATTTTGGAGCTCTAAGAATTGCTGAAACAGAAACAGTCTTTCCAAGTTTCTACCTTTGTCTTGACTTGTTCTCTTGTACGTACTTTTGCCCTTGGGCTGACGCATGAAGTGACTTCTTTCCGCAGCCAAATTTGTGGTTCTGGTTGAGAGGCAGGTTTCCTGGCTCTGCAGCATTCTGATTTTAGAATTTGCATTTGTTTTCATCTTACTTGGGAAGCACTTTATCAAGTTGTCCGTAACACACATCACTTTGCACTGTACTATGTAATTATTTATTGTATTTATTCTTTCATTTATTGTCTCTCTAACCCTGCTAGACTGTAAATACCATAAGAGCAAGGATCTTTGTTTTGTTCATTGGTGTAGCCCTACTGCTTAAGACAGTATCTGGCACATGACTTGTACTTTGTATATACTTGTTGAATGAATGAGAAAATATAAGGGGAAAAGACTTTGCACAGACCATTGATGATTATATGCAAGGAACTATAAATAACTTAATCATCCACACCCCCTAAATAAGTTAAAATATAGTGTTGGGATATTCACCACTTGGCTGTCCACAGAGTGACCCATCTGTAGCTTTTGAACTTCAAGGCTACCCTATATTACATGTCTTATTGGATTTCTTGTCCAGACTTCCCAGGCCAGATCCATTCCACCATCTATCACTTGGGCCCAGTATGATATGGTTCACTTGACATCACCTGGATCTATTATCGCTTCTCTGAGACTATCAGATACATATTTGGAAAAACAAAGCAAATCAAGTTAGAGAGAGGCTTCTTACGTGTGCACACCCAATAACCACAGGAAAACACCAAACCTCTTCTAGAGGATACATGGTCAGCGACTGGGCAGACTTCTGTTGGTCCAGCTGTAGTTTCCCCTGCTACCTTACTTGCTAGAATTGGATTAATTTATTTTGCCTCTGGTCAGAGTGCCAGGGGCAGGTTGTTCAGCAAATACATCTCTCTGATAAGGACTACCTTGAGATTTTGATCTTTTGATACAGTAATCATGGAATCTTCTTATTCTCATGTAATGTGGTTCAATAAAAGTAAGACTAGAATGCTTTCACTCCCTGAAGTTCAAGCAGTGTATAACCTGTGTACAAAAGTAAGGTACATGTGCAGCAATTCAACCCACTTACGAATGAAATGATCCTTTTGTGGTGAGCAAACAAGGCTGTTTCAATGCAGAAAAGTGGCTTGCTTCAGGGCTAAAATCCCTCAGACTGAGCCAACTGAAAAAAAAAATAGAATATTGTGTGCCCGCAATGAATTGTAGAACCCTGAAAATGATTTTTTTTGGAGTGACAAATACAAGCAATACAGCGAGTCTGATTGTGAACGTTAATGAATATATCGCCATAAAGGTGTATATTAATTTGATCTCCATGGTTTTTAAGCCGGGAGTCTTAGTGCAGGCACTAATGCCGGGATGCAGTCATGGAGAAGGATGAGCCGTTATCAAGAAAGAGAGACAAGTTGGGAGTCAGAAAACTGGGAATCTAATGCAGCGGAAACAATTTTGAGACCCCCCCCCCCCCCGCCATCTGATCCATGGGAAATGAAGGCACATGAGGAAGTGGTAGGCGGTGCCACTAAATGTGCCGCCTTCCATGAGGGTGGGCCCTCTCCAGGTGTCTGCAGTTCATGCCTGGCCGAAGCCCCCAGGATAGGGCAGCAGCTGTGGGCAAGTCGCACGGCATCAGGATGGCCTTGCGTCGACCGACACGGGGAAGTCGCTTCTTGAGCCTATGTTCCCTTTTGATCATATGCTCAATGTTCTCTAAGCCTCCTGAAGGCCTGCAGGAAAGCAGTTAAAGATGGAGACACGAAGCACAGATTTGAAAACCGGATGATACCCAATGCCTCTAGAGGCGACTTGTTCAACCTCCTTCACGATGACAAGGACTCCGTCTACTGCACCCTTCACAGAACACGAGATCGAGCTTCCCGGTAGCTCTTGCCACCAGTGAAATAATCCTCACCAACTGCTCTCCCCAGCTCCCCGTGGCCGTTCTTCAATCTCACTTACTGCCATACTCACCTCGTCTCCACTTCTGGCGTGCTGGTGGTGTGTTGCAGTCTTGTGAGACCATGTTCCCTCGTTTCAACCTCAAGCCGGTGGACCTTCCCAGCTTTCTCATTCCTGAGGAAAAATGTTTTCTCAGGCTGCTACCCTGCTCAAGCCTCAGCGTTAAAACTAATCCGTACAGATGACCCAACGGGCAGCCTGTGAACAGGCTTGGTGGGCCAGCAAAAATGAGGCAAAATATTTGTGAAAAACTTCGCCAGTTCCTATATTTTACTTAGTTTATGCATTAGTACTGCTTTTATTTAAAGGTACGTATGGGAAGGGACCTGGAATACGTTCTAATTTTTTTCAGTGCTTAAGATTTGAAGGAGCCTTTGTCTCGCCCTGACCCAGGCACCTTAAAGTACTTCATTGTCGGTTCTCTGAACATGCCCAGAGTTTCCCTAAACTCGTCTCTTTCCTTAATTTGGGCCAATTGTCCCACCTTTGCTGCTATTCTCCAGATTCTGCTTTTCTAGGGTCACTCTATCTTTGTTTCCTTTTTTGTGTCCCCTCCTCTGCCCCCTCCATAGAAGCTAGAGACACATATGTGGAAAACACATTAAGAGGAACCCCATGTTGGTCCCATGTTCTGTTTATTTCTTGTGATAATCCAGTACCTACACACACACACACACACACACACACACACACACACACACACACAATCGGTGCATAAACCTTTTTCTGGCCAGTTCTTTTCCACAGCTAAAGTGGGATGCCTATACTGTTACAATTCTGCACCCCCATTCCACCATGCAGTGCCTAAACATGATCTGGGTGTCCTACAATTCAACTCAATTCTGACACTATCTACCTGGATATAGTGTAAGGTCCCACAGGTTAAGGGCCCAGTCCTACAAGACACCTCCAGCACCCCCCACCCCCAGTAGCTGACAGGCTATATAGATTGGAGGTTCTAATGGCTCCCTCCTCGGGCTAGATTAATTTGCTAGAGTGGCTCACAGAACTCAAACATTTTACTTACTAGATCACCAGTTTATTATAAAAGCATATAATCCAGGAATAGCTAGATGGATGAAATGCACAGGACAAGGCATGGGGAAGGGGTATGGAGCTTCCATGCTTTTTCTGAGTATACCGCCGTCCCCAAATGTCCACACGT